GTTCTTAGCTCACAGGCCATACAAAACAAGATGGCCTGTTGGATTTGACTCTGACCTCTGACCTCTATATTATCTCATTGCTGACCTCTACATTACCTCATTGGGTTAATGGGGGTTTCTAATAATCTAAATAATTAGATATTCTGTGATTATATTGTCAAGTGAATGGGAAAGAGTTTTCTCATTAATCTCATTTCCCCCCCTGCTGTCACCGAGATTGAAGATGCTTTAGTCAGTTATTCCTCAGGTTAAGAGTAGACCCTGTATGTCTAGCGTCTAGACATACCAATTTAAGAACTGCCATCAATTACAAGGATATGCAACACACTAAAGGTCATGCGACAGGAACAGATTTATAGATTGAGCTGCCTGCAGAGTGGCAAAGGGGAAGAGTGACAAGTAGTTGCAGTAATCCAGGGGAGAAACGAAGGTGATCTGGACTGGGCTGGTAGAACTAGGGGACTAAGGACAGTACACAGGCTGGGGATGTATCTAGTATTAGGTGCTTGCTTGAATGACGATCGATTCAGGAGTGGGGAACCTGCCTCCTTAGCGCCACATGTGGCCTTCTGGATCCTTGAGTGTGGCCTTTTGACTGAATCCCAATTTTACAATTTTCTGTGAAGTTTGGGGATCTGGAGGGCCGCATGTGGCCTTGAGGCCACAGCGCTACCTAAGCTTAGTTGACATAATGTACCATCTCTTTCTTCTTTTAATTATTATTAATAGTAACCATTTTAAAAACTGCAGGACGCTATCAGTTTGCCTGATTTACTAATTACCCACCCCTACCTGAAAGGGGAACACATCATTTTTATTTTTTCAACATAAAATTTATAGTAGGGCAAAATACTTTCTCTGAAAAATTTTCTACATTCAGCAGAATCACTAGACAGTAATCGCTGTGTAGAGACGCTGTCTCTCAAATTCCAGACTATTTCCAGAGGTCTACCCGGGTTCACGCCGCTCCTCCGCGCCCAACCACACCTCTAGACCCGCCCCCGACACTGCCCTCCAGCCGTCCTCCTCCTGCTGGCGCTCCCTCCGCCCACCCAGAGGCTCCTCCCCCTCCAGCCTTGCAACCCAACTCCTTCTCTCCTTCCGTCGCTCGCTTTCTCCTTTCCCCGCCCCAATGGCGGCCTTCGATTGGCTAAACTGGGAGGACCGCCGCACGGATGCAGCATAGCCGCGTTCTGATTGGCTGGGTATAGGCTGGAACCGTAGTGATTGGCTGACAGGAGGAGCCAGCAAGTGTGGCTGCGCACCGGGGTGTGTGGACGTCGCTTTGTTGCCCGAGGGGGGCGGCGGTGGAAGTTAAGAGGATCGGGGGCTAGCGCTTCTCGGGACCCGCAGTCGCGACCACTGCAGTCACTTCGCTCGGCAGCCTTTAACGTAGGAGTCGTGCTGACAACAGCCATGAGCGGCGGCGTGTACGGGGGAGGTGAGTGAGTGCCGCGGGACGAGAGAGCGCGCCTTTTTTGGCGTGTGGGGTTTGTAACCGCCGCCTCCAGCCCTCCCCTTCCCGGCGTTCCCTTCCGGTCTCCCCCGCTCGGGAACCCGGCCTCCCCGCCCCATCTCCGCCCTGCGGTCAGCCCGCCCCCGGAGGCCAGCGGGCTCGGCGTGCGCCTCGGGCGCCCGGGAGTCGCCGCCCCCTGAGGCGTCTTGCTGCCTCGGCCCCCCCCAACCCCCCCCCGGGGAGCGGGGTTTTCGGAGTGTGTGCTCCGTCCCCGAGAGGGCTTCGGAGGTGGGCAGGCACCTTGGTCCAGCGGGCAGGCCCTCTGGCCCCAGGGTCGCGTCTCCCCGAGGGTCTCGAGAGCTCGGCTGCGCCGGCGTGTGTGTGTGTGTAAACTTGGAAAGTCCCAGTAGTTTGCAAGCGTGGACTAAGGGTTTCCGCAGTGTCCCATAGATGGCAAAGTGAGCAGCGAGAAGT